GAAATAAAATATATACAATAAAAAATATAGATTTTTGCAAAAGTGAAGGGGACCAAGAGAATGAGCAAGGAGCAAGTGGGTAGGAAAAAGGATTATTAAAAGAATCAGGATGTGTCGTGAATATGTACTAACTTCCCACAATGAATGTACTTTTTTCCCCCACAAACAAGTACTAATAAAAATAATTTTTATTTCATTAGAGAGTATATATTTATACACCTTTATGTATCATGTATCTGTCTATCTACCTGATTTAGATCAAAAACATCTGAAAGGCTTATGTGTTCTGAGGTGGGACTTTCGGAAGGCAATTGCATCACAAGGGATTACTCCATTGATAAATTCATAACTGAGTTGGCCATTAGGAGGTAGAGTCCATTTGGAGGAAGTAGGTTACTGAGGGAATAACATACAAAAGTGTATGTTTCCCTGCCTTTTGACTTCTTGCTTTCCATGAGATGAACATCTTTTTTTCCACCATGCACTCCCTGCCAAGATGTTCAACCTCTTGTCAGGTCTACAGTAATGGGGACAAATACCCAAGGGTTGAGACCTCTGAAACCATGAAAAGAAATACATCTTTCCTTCCTTAAGTTGATTTATCTCGGGCATTTTGTCACACTTCTACAAGACTAACAGACATACACACACACATACACACATGAAACTGTTAATTACCCTTCTCACTCCAAACATCGTGTTTTTGTCTTGGACTCTCCTATCTTTTAAAAAAAATATCACTATTCACTCAGTTGTTGACAATTATTTTTTGTTTCTATTTTTCTTTCACATATCAACATATCAGCATGTTACTTATCATGTATTTGCGTCATTTATTCCTCCAAAATACATCATAAAAAACCTTGTATTCTTTTTTTTTTGAGTAGGAAGAATTTATTGAGGGAAAGGTAGCTTCTGTCTAAGAGAGGCAGAAAGGGGACTGGAAAATGGGTTGCCCTTCCTTCATTCTATTACTGTGGCCCAATGTACAATCATGGGTCACTTCAACACTTTCCATGTTTCCCTCTGCTTGCATCTTTGACCCACCCAATGCACACTGCCAAGCAGCTATAGGACACCTTAGGAACACAAATTTAAAAAGCTATGCAAATTAGGAGTATAGTTAACATGTGATTTAATATTACCCCATATCCATAAGGTTCTTTGCTCTCTATTTACTTAATTAACTCCTATTATCCCTAAAAGTTGAATACAGGTACTCCTAGAGTCTTTGACCACTTCTCTCATCTCAGTGGACTGGGTTAGGGGCCTCTCTGTATTCTCAAAGGATTCTATGCTTCCATGTATAAAAGCACTTCATTTCCTTTAATATATTTGCTGACTGACTCATATATTTGTTTTGCTTCCTAGGCTATGGGTTGCTTGAAGCCAAGGTCTGTAATTTTTATTCATATATGGACTGTACTACCTGTTAAGAAATTAGTGCTCAATAAGTAGTACTCATTCAAGTCATTCATAAATGAATGAGTAAATAGATGTAGATTAAAGATGATTAGGAAATGCTTTATGAAGAAGGCAATACTAGCCTTACAATTTGAATGTCAGGCAATATAAAATGCCAACATGAATTCATTAGAAAAGTTGATTAATGGATTTAGCAACTTATAGCAAAACTTTAACTAGTTTGCCTCCTGGAATAGTTTGAGTGTGGCAAAGAAATATATTAACTATGTAATTTTTGCCTTGCCCAGCTCCACAATTTTTCTTAGTTCAGAGCACAATCAGGCCAAATTTTTCTACTATGGAATATTAGCATCTTTAAAGTCATTACCCTCAATATGTGTTCTATTGAGATTCTAAAGATATTCAGAATAACAACCAATACAAAGAAAAGCCTCTGGATACATCATTGTTTATCTCTTTTCATGAGCAACTGTGCATTTTAAGACCCAAGGATCAATGAGAAAATAATTTAGCTTCACAAATCTAAATATACCACATCATCCTTAAAATCTTGAACTTAACTCTGTCTCAACAGAGATTACAATTTATTATACTATAAATTTATAAGCCCTACAACTTGCCTTATCTTTATAGAGAAATACTGGCAGTGAAGATGCAGGGTTGCATAAATAGTAAGTTTATATATCTTACTTATAAAATTATTAGTTGTAAGAAAATAGGTACCTATATGCCTTTTACAAACTCATTCAAAGGAAAAATATATATACATATATGAATATTTATATATATGTGTCCATTTCCTTGTGTATACTTGTATGTGTATGCACATAATGCATAGATACCCATAAAATATATGAATGTATATATAGTGTACATTTTATTCTTTTACTTAATATTATAACATTTGTTCTGGATTTCATATTTCAAACAATTTTAAACTGTATAAGAAAAATTTAAAATGTTTGTTTTCTTCTATCATGCCACTCGACTTCATAGAGGGGCATACTATCCTACCTTCTCATGTTAATATTTTAGTGATTACAACCTGTATTAGGTATGGTTGTCTAGAGGAACAGAATTAATAGAAAATATATGTATAATTATGCAAGGAGATTTATTACACAGGCTTAAAGATTCAGAGGCAGAAGAGTGAACAATGGCCATTTGTGGTTTCAGAGCTGGGAGAATCCACAATGGAGGTCCATTCCAGAAGATTCAGTAGTTGCTCAGCCCAAAAATATGGAAGAGAGATCAAGGATGTAGCCTCAGTCCTAAGGGATGGACTGGAACATTGCAAAGGATGTACTCACTGAAGACTGGAGCTCATCAGAATGGAGTCCTTTGTTATTTTGCTTTTTATTCCATCTAGGCTACAAGCAACCACATCTGGATGGGCCTTTCTCAGGTTGCTGACCAACATGTCATTCATCTACAGATGCATTTTGAACTGTACCTTATTAATCTTCTAGGCATTTTTTAATCAATTCAAGTGGACATATTATGAATAAGTATCACACCATTAAGTTTCATATTTTGATCATCAATATGATTTTATCAGTTGATCAATATCTCTTGGTATCTTACCATTGTAGCTCAAATTTAATACAGTTATACTTCCTAATATTTCTATAATCTTCTGTTTTTGCCTTATCTTTTATTTTGTGCTTTTTTGTCCTTGTAATAGTTATATTTTTAGCAATAAAACATACATATTTCTATTTTTACTACACAATTGCTAAACAATATCTACTAATTGTTTGCTAGATAGTATGAAAAAATTAATTCATACAGAACTCTTCTTCTGACTTCTATCAGTTATAAAATGAACATTTATGAGGTTGTGTTCTAGGCACACTAACACTAATGTTTTAAAATTAAAAAGAATTGTTGGATGCTTGTCTTCTATTCATTCTAAATGTATAAAAGTAGTGAAAACCATATATGATTAAGTAAAGTATACATTTAAATAAAAAATACTGTAATATAATTTCATGAAAAAAAGAAACTCAAAGCTATGTCAAATTCATGCCACTCAAAATTTTCTACATGCCTAGGTCAAATTCGTTCCTTCCTTTTGTACTCAAGAATTCAATAAAAAATAAGCCATATTCTATTTATTTTATATTAGAAACATGATTTTTTACATTTTTAAGAATAAAAAAGGTTTTCCACATTGGCATTTCTTTTTTTGTTCATAAAAGAGACAAATGAATTTCTTTAGTTTTCTAATCCCACAATTTGTTAATAAAACACACTTTCTTCTTAAAGATTGTGACGGACCAGCCATCACCAGTCGAAAGGTTCCTGAATGGGGGAAAGGAGGACTGAGAAAATAAGACAAAGAGACAGAGTCGGGAGGGCTCCCAAGACCGAGCAAGCAAGTTTATTTACACCTTTCTTTTATACACTCAGTGAGTTAGGTCA